ATTAATCCCTCATCAGAAATATGATTTGCAGATATTTTCTCTCATTCCTTTTCACTCTGGTGAAAAGATTGCCTTTTTACTCTGTTGATTGTGTCCTTTGCATAAAAGTTTTTTAAGTGTGATGTAGTTTTATTTTTGCTTTTGTTGCCTATGACATGTTTGGTGTCATAGCCAGGAAATCATTGCCAGTCCGTTGTCATGAAGCTTTTCCCTATGGTTTCTTCTGGGAGTTCTGTAATTTTGAATTTTCTCATTTAAGTCTTGAATCCATTTTGAGTTAATGTTTTTATATGGTGCAGGAATAGGGTCCAGCTACATTCTTTTGCATCTAGGTATCTAATTTTTCCAGTACCATTTGTTGAAGAGACTGTTCTTTCCCCATTGAGTCACCTTGGCACCCTTGTCAAAGATCATTTGACCATATATGATAGGGTTTATTTCTGGACTCTTTTCTATTGCATTGGTCCACATGTCTGTCTTTATGCCAGTTATCATCAGTGTTTGATTACTTGAGCTCTGTAATATATCTTGAATCAGGAAGTGTGAGACCTTCAACTTTGTTGTTCTTTGTCAGTTATTTTGACTTAAAGATTCTGTATGAATTTTAGGATGCATTTTTCTATTTCTGCCAAAAAAAAAATGCCATTGAGATTTTTATAGAGATTGTGTTAAGTCTGTAGATTGCTTTGCCTAGTTTGGATATCTTAATATTAAGTCTCATCATTCATGAACACAAGATAACTTTCCAGTTATTTATGCATTTCATTTCTTTTAGCAGTGTTTTATAATCTTTAGTCTACAGGTCTTTTGCCTCCTCCTTGGTTAGCTTTATTCCTATTTTATTGTTTTTGTTGGAATTGTAAATGGAATTATTTTCTTAATTTCCTTTTTGAATTGTTCATTGTTAGTGTATAGATGCAGCTGATATTTATGTGAATTTTTACATCTTGCAACTTTGCCAAACTTATTAGTTGCAGTAGTTTTTAAATGGGATCTTTAGGACTTTCTACATATAAGATCATGTCATCTGCTAACAGATGATTTTACTTCTTTTCAATCTTGATGTCTTTTATTTTTCTTGCCTAATTGCTGAATTGTTTCTTTTTTTGAGACTGAGTTTTTGCACTTGTTGCCCAGGCTGGAGTGCAATGGCACAATCTCGGCTCACTGCAACCTCTGCTTCCCGGGTTCAAGCAATTCTCCTCCCTCAGCCTCCCAAGTAGCTAGGATTACAGGCATGCGCCTCCACGCCCAGCTAATTTTGTGTTTTTAGCAGAGGCGGGGTTTCTCCATGTTGGTCAGGCTGGTCTCGAACTCTCGACCTCAGGTGATCTGCCCACCTTGGCCTCCCAAAGTGCTGGGATTACAGGCGTGAGCCTCCGTGCCTGGCCTAATTGCTGAATTATTTCTAAGAGAGAATACAGATTAAGTGTTTTTAAAAGGGGTAAGTGATCCTTGCTTTGAAAGCATGGGAAAGCCACTAGAAGGTTTTAAACAGGGAAGACAATCAAGTGTGTGCTTTAAAGTAATGCCAAAAGCACCCTGGATTCTAGTGAAGTGATGGAGGTGGTAAGAGTAGATGGAGAAGACTAGCAGATTGCTAGGAAATAGTCTGATTAGTGATTTGGGCTGGGTTGCGTTGGGGGAACAGTGTGGAAGTGGAGATGGAGAAGAGTTAATGGAATTGAGTATTTAGGCATTGGAAGTGACAGAACTAGATGATAGATTGACATCTGGGTAGAAAGGAGGTAGGAGAGAGCATTTTTAAGACAGACTCAGGTTTCTGCCTTGAGCACAACTGAATAGATGGAAATGTGGAGATGACACAAACTGTGGTGTAGAGATTTCGTATGCTGAGTTTGAGATGCTTTTCAAACAGCTAAAGATGCTGCAGAGGAAATCCTGTGCAAATCTGAGCATGAGAATAGGAACCCAGTAAATGAGTTGACCCCACTTTAGGGGGAATCTAGGAGCTAGTGTAACCTGTTGTACATAGTACACAGTTAATTCTTGTGTAATTATTTCTCACAGAAAATCAACTCATATTTTGTATTTAATTATCTTTAATGTAGGAATTAGTAGTTTCCTTTTAATATTATGAAAGTGACATGGCCGGGTGCGGTGGCTCATGCCTGTAATCCCAGCACTTTGGGAGGCCAAGGTGGGCGGATCACGAGGTCAGGAGATCAAGACCATCCTGGCAAACACGCTGAAACCCTGTCTCTACTAAAAGTACAAAAAAATTAGCCGGGCGTGGTGGCGGGCGCCTGTAGTCCCAGCTACTTGGGAGGCTGAGGCAGAAGAATGGCATGAACCAGGGAGGCAGAGCTTGCAGTGAGCTGAGATCGTGCCACTGCACTCCAACCTGGGTGACAGAGCGAGACTCCGTACCAAAAAAAAAAAAAAAAGACAGTGGCATAAAGAAGGCTCTTTTACATTTTTAATCAAATTGGCTAAATATCATTTATTTACATTGCCATGTGAAGTAGCGTTATCTATGTCACATAGCTCTCTTGATAGGCCCAAATATAGTAAAGCCTGCTTTTCTGTTGAAGTCTGTGAATATGGAGAAAACATGAAAAGGTGCCACATCAGTAAAATTACAAATATTTTATACTTTTGTGGGATGCCGGTGGGAAAAGCAGGCTAGGGAGTGAAATTTGATATGCTGGCTATTTAGAGATAAGTCTGAGAAGCATGAAAACAGTCTTTGTTGCAATATTGTAACATTATAAGGAAAAACATCTTGGATTGCAGAGAAATAGAGAAAGATGCAGGGAAGTGGGGGAAAAAGTAGTGAAGAAGTAGAGGGATAGAAGTGAGCTTTCAATAGGACTGAATTGAGTGTAATCACTTTCGATCCATTTGAATCATGAACTTCAGAATATATAATTATCTTCCTTTAAAGGCTGATGCTACTTCAGAGGTTTTTACTGCTGAAAGCTGCCATTCTAATGAGAAGTAGACCCAGTAGTCAAATAGAAAAAAAAAAATTCTTTTCGTATCTCACACTGTATAAAGCTAGAAGTTAGAAGACTCATTCTATTCCTAGTTATGTCATTAACTGGCTTTATGTCCCTAGGAAGTCACTTGCCTTCTCTGAGCCTCAGTTTACTCATCTGCCAAATGATGGAGCAGACAAAATGATCTGTAAATTTCCTTCTACTCAAATATTCTGTGTATTTTTGAAATCCATTTTGCCCTAAGTGTGGCAGTGGTTTCCCATCATTAAGAGACAAACAAAAGCCTATGGTTTTGAAATTTGCAATATTAATATTTTTCTACATTGATTTAATGCAGAAATTACACAATTTGTCATTCTAACTTAAATGCTGCTATTTGAGAATGTAGGGCCTATTTGAGATTGGGACCATCAGTTTTGTTAAATACTTCCCACCTTTAAGTTATTTATTCACCATGATCTTTTAGAGTCTGTTGATTATGACTTTTTTGTGGAAATATTTGCAGTAATTCCCATTGCAGTAATTCCCAGACTTTATATCTCTAGAGTTTCCTTTGGAGAAAATTGTTGAATTAGGAAACTAAAGGTGTTTATAGCCAGAATAACTTTATTATAACTTTGTTTTTTTAAATCTTATATTTAGCATCTTTTGATTTGTCAGTGAACTAAACTGTAACTGCAATATAATTGTCCTAATAGGATAATGCAACTTTAAAAAAGAAAAGTAATGCCCTTTATCTCAAAAAGACATAATAGTCAGAGGCACCAGAAACATATGCTTTATTTATCTGTGCTTATGCTTTATGCCTTTTGATTTAGTGTAATGTAAAGAATAGAGGGTAGCTGGTAAAAAGGTCTAGACTTCAAGAAAAGGATTAGATTTGAGATCTTGTATTATATTGCTTATATGTTTATGGTTTTAATACTGAGGAGCCATGATCATAGCATTTTATAGAAGAATCTTTTCATAGTAGAGTGGAGTACAGTTAGATCTAAAAATAAAAGTACTAGAGGGAAACAAAGGATATTACAAGAAGGAAAGAACATCTTTTCTCATTTTCTATCCTCTAACCTGCAAATTACTTACCAGACGTATCTTTCAGTATGTTAACAAGCAGAGAAGATAGTGTGTTTTATTCATAGGGCATTTTAAATTTTATTACTAAAAGCCTTCCCAAGGTTTCAGGCTAGCCATTGCCAAATAAATTTTTAAACATGATTTCTATTCTGGTAAAGAACACTTAGGGAAAAATTTAAACTTGCACTTGTTAAAACTTAAATTCTCCTTCATAAGTACGAAAAATAAAAATATTAATTCTTATTTGTAGATGACCAAACTAGCACTAGGGGATAGTCAGAGGTTTGAACAAAGTAGAATTGTTTTATAAATAAGTGACTGTTTTGAGTTTGTTCATTGACGTTTTAAAAATAACGACATAAAACCCACAGAAGTTTTATCCTTTGGCAAACTTTTCTCCCATCTTATTTATTTTTCTATAGATATTTTGGTTCATTCTAAAACATCTATTTTTAAAAGTTAGATTTCAGCTTTGTAAAATGGAAAATATACCATCAATATTGAACAAAATATTAGTTGAATCTCTTCTTCTGTAATGTTCCAATAGCTTTTTGTGGTTACTCATCATGTAAGGTTGTAATGCCCTAGCATTACAGATTTTAGGGATGCTAGCTGCTGGTGTTGAAGAATAACTGCTGTAGGAAAAAAATTTAGTGTAATTTTAATAACATTGACTATTAGAATTTAACACAGAATTATTTTCATCATCAAGTTTATTCAGCTCATTCTAAATGATCCCTTATGTAAGGGACCAAAAGTATTTAACTTTTCAAAGTTAGCAGTATAATCTCTTCTTGCTTATAAGGTCAAGTCTTTTGTGATAGCCTTACTAGCAATAATAGAAAATTGAAAAAAAGAAGCATTTTAGTTCCTATGTTTAAAAATATTTCTTATAAGTGTTTGTATTGCAAACGAGTTATTACCAAATGTTAATAATCTATTATGTCTTGTTTTTTAAAGTGAATGAATTTTTAGCTTTTGAGGGTCCCATCTTGTTGGATATGAGAATTAAACACCTAATCAAAATACATCAGTTAAGTCAAGCAACTGCTCTAGCAAAGCTGTGTTCTGACCATCCAGAGATTGGTACAAAAGGTAGTTTTAAGCAAACTTACCTTGTCTGTCTTTGTACATCATCACCAAATGAAAAGTTAATTGAAGAGGTGAGTATGTTTTCTTTCATTAGTAATTATTTTTTACGTTGAGAAATTAATTTTTAATTAGAATGTCTTTGATTTCCTTTTCTCTTAGATAGTGAAGAGATCATTGTCAATCTTACATTTTTGGTATGTTCCTGAGTGGTGGCAACATGATTCTAAGCAACTTTTAGAATTATATGTAAACTGATTGCACCTAGTTTCTGTTTTAAATAATATACATCTGTTAAATGCTTTGGCTAAATTGTTGGGAAGATAGTGGTGGCTTAACAGTTTAGTAGAATATCTAGATTTGTCAGCTTTGGGCCTTAACTTCAATCTTGTCTGACTTCAAGATACTTGAAGATCTTTTAAACTGGCTAATTTAAGTAACTTTGTAGAAATTTTATGACTTATCTCTGGGAATACTTGGAGATAAGTCATATAAATTTTATATTGTATATGCACATCTATGCTATATATAATTTTGAGTACATATTTATTTGCATATTTAATGTAAAACCTTATTTTCTCTTAGACATTGTGTTCTCGCTTCTAGTTTGGTATAAAGCATAGTATTCACATATTTGTATAGTTTATGACTACAAAATTCTGAGAGTGGAATCATGATCCAAATGGGAATTTTGCATTTTGGGGGACTCACAATTTCAAAAGGAAGTTGGAGACAGGGTAGGAGAATTAAAAGTTGTTGATCAAGAAACAGGGTGTGTATATTTTAAAAATTTAGATAAAACTATAGTAGATCGGCCGGGTGTTGTGGCATGCCTGTAATCCCAGCACTTTGGGAGGCCGAGGCAGGTGGATCACGAGGTCAGGAGTTTGAGACCAGCCTAGCCAACATAGTGAAACTCCATCTCTACTAAAAATACAAAAAATTATCTGGGCATGGTGGTGGGCACCTGTAATCCCAGCTATTTGGTAAGCTGAGGCAGGAAAATTGCTTGAACCTGGGAGGCGGAGGTTGCAGTGAGCCAAGATCACGCCACTGCACTGCAGCCTGGGCAACAATGTGAGACTCTGTCTGAAAAAAACAAAAACAAAAAACAAAAACACCTATAGTAGGTTGATCAGTGTTCAGTGGGCACTGATTGTGTACAAGTGTCTTATATCTCTAATATACATACCCTTTGACTCCAGAGCAATAGAGAGGAAAACAAAGCGATTATAGGCAAAACATAAGGATATGTTAAGGGAAAAGTTGAGATATAAGACAGAGGAGTAAACTAATAGAGCTTGCATGATCCTCTTAGACCGAGAGGTATTGTCATCAGTCTCAAAGCAGAATAGCTCATACAGAAAGCTCAGTGCCACATGAGGTTTGTAATGACGATTGTGTAATATTTTTTTCCTTGAGAATAGACAAGTAGGAAGGCAAGTGGTAGGCTTGGACCAAGATAAGAAATAAACCTGTTGGGTTTCTTATGTGAGGATATTGAGGGTACTGGGAAGAGTAATGTCAGAGAGTTTGTAGGCTAGATGGAGTAGAATCATGGTCTGTAGCATAGGATATTGTATCATTATTAGTTTGGACTTCGACTAGTCTATATATGTTTTTCTTTATTATTTATTTTATTACAGGTAATTGACCTTTTAATTGATATTATATATGAGAGCAAAATAGAAGACTGACATTTTCTTATTAGTTCAAAATAACTAGATAAGTTAATTTGCAGATGTATAAAATTTATTGAAATCACCTTTGACATGTGTGTAACTTTTTTTAAAAAAATCATTAGTTATTGTGCTGCTACATCTCATATTTTTCAATGCCATGAAAGCTTTTATTATCAGTTCAGTCCCTGCCCTTAAAGTCTATCTGTCCTCCCTTCCACTTCCACAGATTTGTATTAAGTGAATGATTTTTTCTGTATAAGCATTGGTGGGAAGTTGACGGGAGGTGGGATTTAAAGGTGAATAAGGCATAGGCCCTTTACTAAAGAAGCATATCTCCTATTAGGAAACTGACTGTGTAAACATAGAGTGGTTGGGTTAGCTTTGAAGTTAAAGACTATGAATTTGTGTCTCAAGTAAAAATCCAGTAAAAAAAAAAGAAAATCTGTATTTCCAGCTCTCTGAATAATCCAGTCTTGCAATACTGAGCCTAAGTTCCTTCTTGGTTTAATTATCCAGAGTTGAGTAACAACAGTCCTGTTGTTTCCTGATGTGATCAGGAAAATTCTCTGTGAAGACCCTGGGTACCTCTAATGTCATGTGTAACTATTTCCCTCCCCCCACTTCTCATGTTAAGCAGGTAGAATTAAGACTTTTCATGTTCATAAGCAGGGTTCACTAAGGCCTGTATACTCCATCCCAGGAAAAAACTAGATCATATACTGCAGAACAGGACAGATAGGTGTAAGTCTACACATATATAGTAACATTACTTTGTTTAAAGTCCCTTGTTACAAAGTAACAACATTACTTTGTTAAAAATCCTTTTTTGCTTAGAGATTGCTTGCTCTTTTATGTTTCTGTTATAAACACATTAGAAACTTGTTCATTGTTCCATATGAGGTGAGTGAATTAAGATTTATTGATTTATTGTCCCCAACCCAGAGACATTGCCCCCTTTAGAAGAGGTATGCACTGTGTCCTGTCTCACTTGCCCACCCTACTCTTTGTCCACTTCATTAATGTACGTTACTTGCCTTACAAGTATTTGAGGTTTGGTTTTGTTTACGTGTTCCTTAAAGGATAGTGGGAATAGACTGTTAGAAGGAGTCAGCAATGGCCTGGATTGGTAGTGATCTTTCTGAGATCTTTGTCCAAGTGAGGCAAGGGATTGACTGTTCCCCAGGACCCTTTCAGTGTGATAGAAATAGCAGCTAGTTGATACCCCATAGGTTGTTTTAAAAAAAGAAAAGAAATAGCAGCTAGCCTTGGTAGATGGCAGAGGAATGGGGCTGGGAGAGATGAGTGTTTATCTGGCCTTTCTGGAAGGAATGAACTGGATTCTTGGTATAGTAGTAAAAAATAAAGTTAGCAGTGTCTAGTTGAGATCCAATATTTCTATTCATTTTATCATTAAAATAAATATAGAAGTTTAAAAACTAAAACTTTCTATCTTGTATCTCTGTAGCTGTCTCATTTCCCCATTTAACACTCCACTAGGTAATTATTATTAAGATTAAAATTTGATATATAATCTTTCTGACATTTTTCTATGCAGATACATGCATTTTTAATACTTAAAATCACATACACACTCCCTGGTTGTTGGCCACTTTTCCCGCTATTATTGTGGACATGTTTCCATATCATTCCATATAGATCAACCTTATTTCTCATGGCTACATAATTCCATAGTATGGATTTGTAATATCTTTAACCAGATTGGTGGACACTTACTTATATTGTTGCTTTTTGCATACATCTGTGTATCCTTGTGGGGAGTGTACTGGTAGGGTAAATTTCTGCAAGTGAAATTGCTGGATCAAAGAATCAGCACATTTTAAATTGATAGGTTTAAACTATCCTCCAGAAACGATTATGGCAATTTATGTTTCCAAAAACAATATGTGAAATATCTTCTTAGAGATTATTAGTCTTAAATATTTGTTAGCCCAAAAGTTAATTTTGATTAACTCTTGATTTTATATTTTCTTAGTTATGACAGATTTAACATTTATTTTCTATATGGAAAGCAATATTATTTTGATAAGCAAATCAGTTATTTTTTAAACCTTTTGTTTGTTTGTTTGTTTGTTTGGGGGGACAGAGTCTTGCTCTGTTGCCCAGGCTGGAGTGCAGTGGTGTGATCTCAGCTCATGGCATCCTCTGCCTCCTGGGTTCAATTAATTTTGCCTCAGCCTCCCAAGTAGCTGGGACTACAGGCACACGCTGCCATGCCTGGCTAATTTTTTGTATTTTAGTAGAGACAGGGTTTCACTGTGTTTCCCAGGCTGGTCTCAAACTCCTGGGTTCAGGCAATCCTCCCGCCTTGGCCTACCAAAGTTGCTAGGATTATACACATGAGCCACCACACCCAACCGAAACTGTTTTTGAAATGTGATTACAGCCAATACTTTTTAAAAGCATGCTTTGTAAATTCATATAAAATGTTGATAGTGTTCTATGTTTTTTGAATGTTTGGCATAAAGAGCCATGTTAAAACATACAAATTATTATTTACATCTTTGAAATAATTGTTATGCTTTATAAAGGGACTTTATTCAGCATAATGTGTCTTTAGCAAACAGATCATCCTAATTGGTTTTAAGTATTTTATTAAGAGTTCTAAATTTTCTGGTATTTAAATTTTTGCTCATTTGTCAAAGCAATAGAGAATAGTCCCTCTATAGGTAATATACTGATAATCTCTGAACTTTGCTTCTTTGGATTTTTAAATAATTCTTGTTCATTGGTGGCTATGCTTCACTTTTCATAATTTTAATTCAGTCATTTACTACTTTATATATGACTTCCTTATTCCTACATTCTACTTAATGTCATATTTTTTCAAGACAGCCATCTAGTGGCAAATCAGAGAAATGAAGGATCCCAAGTACACCATAAAAATTGTTTCATTAGTATGCCTATGAAAAATGAAGTTTGCTGTGTTAGTAAATATAGCAAATGTTTCCATTGGTACGTTGCATGTATATGAAAAAATACACACAGGCAATCACACATTTATATTTTTAAATATTAAGAGTAAGCCGGGCGGGTGCAGTGGCTCACACCTGTAATCCCAGCACTTTGGGAGGCCGAAGCAGGTGTATCACCTGAGGTCAGGAGTTTGAGACCAGCCTGGGCAACATGGTGAAACCCCGTCTCTACCAAAATACAAAAATTAGCCAGGCGTGGTGGCACTTGCCTGTAATCCCAGCTACTCGGAAGGCTGAGGCATGAAAATCGCTTCAACCTGGGAGGCAGAGGTTGCAGTGAACCGAGATCACACCATTGCCCTCCAGCCTGGGTGATTGAGTGAGTCTCCGTCTCAAAAAAAAAAAAAAAAGAGTAAGCTAATGATAGTAATAACATTGGGGAAGTAAATTTCTTTCCTTATACATAATAGATAAATTTGGTACCATATGAGCACTCAGCAAGAGTGGCTTAGGTTTTATTTTTTATTTTATTTTATTTTTTATTTTTTACTTTTCTTGAGACAGAGTTTCGGTCTTACTGCCCAGCCTGGAATGCAGTGGCACCATCTCAGCTCACTGCAACCTCCACCTCCCGGGTTCAGGCAATTCTCCTGCCTCAGCCTCCCAAGTAGCTGAGATTACAGGCACCTGCTACCACGCCTGGCTAATTTTACATTTTTAGTAGAGACAGGGTTTCACTATGTTGGTTAGGCTGGTCTCGAACTCCTGACCTCAGGTGATCCACACCCCTTGACCTCCCAAAGAGCTGGGATTTCAGGTGTGAGCCACCGGGCCCAGCCTAAGGGTGGCTTAGGTTTTAGAAGAACAACAAAAATGATAAGATTAAAAATAAATCAGACTTTCAAGAAATAAGGATTTTTATTAAACCTGAACAAGTGAAAATCCATATTTAGCAGCATACGAATATATGGCCTTAGTATGCCTGTGCACGTGGAATTCTGGAAAGAGCACAGACTCTGAAGCTAAACTTAGGTTGACATCTTGACTTTGCCACTAAGTGCGTAACTTTGAGCAAGCAACTTAATGTCTTAGGCCTTCTTTCTTTAAAAGAAGTATTAGCATTGGCTGAGCATGGTGGCTCATGCCTGTAATCCCAGCACATTGGGAGGCCGAGGCAGGTGGATCAAGATCAGGAGATCGGGAGATCGAGACCATCCTGGCTAACACGGTGAAACCCCATCTCTACTAAAAATACAAAACGTTAGCTGGGCGTGGTGGCACGCACCTGTAGTCCCAGCTACTCGAGAGGCCGAGGCAGGAGAGTCGCTTGAACCTGGGAGGCAGAGGTTGCAGTGAGCCGAGATCACACCACTGCACCCCAGTCTGGACAACAGAGTAAGACTTCATCTCACAAATAAATAAATAAATAATAAAGTAGTAGGTAGCATCTACCAGGCAAGCTGTTTGTCTGGAGGCAATGCAGTTTGTCTGCATGAGTGTGACAGGGTAATTGTTTAAAACTAACATAATTTTGAATAAAATATATTGTGATGAAGTGGAAAGAACTTTTTTTTTTGGTTTTTTGGGGATTTTTTTTGTTGTTGTTGTTGTTTTTCTTGAGACCAAGTCTTGCTCTGTCACCCATGCTGGAGTGCAGTGGTGCAATTTCAGCTTACTGCTGCCACCTCCGCCTCCCAGATTTAAGCGATTCTCCCACCTCAGCCTCTTGAGTAGCTGGGACTACAGACATGCATCACCATGTCCAGGTAGTTTTGGTATGTTTTAGTAGAGATGGGATTTCACCAAGTTGGCCAGGCTGGTCTCGTACTCCTGACCTCAGGTGATCCACCCACCTTGGCCTTCCAAAGTGCTTGGATTACAGGGGTGAGCCATCGTGTCTGGCCAGAGCTTGGATCTTTGATGTCAGCCAGACATGATTTGATTTGTGGCTCAACCACTCAACTAGCACATTCATCATACAGATAGTCCCCCAGTTTATGATGGTTCAACTTAGTATTTTTCAGCTCTACAATGGTGTGAAAGTGATACACATTCAGTAAGTTTCTGGACATATGATGGGGTTACATCTAGTTAAACTTACTCTGAATTGAAAATATCTTAAGTCAAAAATGCACTTTCAACTTAGGATAGGTGTATTGGGATGTAGCCCCATCGTAAGTCACAGAGCATCTGTGTATAGAATGTTAGTGATAATACCTACCTAGTGGGAAAGTTATGGTTAATAATATACATAAAATGTCTGACCGTGTGTTTAACATATTGTAGATATTTTTAAATCTTTACTTTATAAATATATATCCTTCAGTCTTTTTTTAATTTGCTTAAATCAAGCTGCTTATAAAGATTTGTTGAAAAAGAGTCAGACAGAGGAGTAGTGGAAAGAGCACTGTACCAGGTAGTACAAGACTAGATTTCAGTCTTAACTCTTCCACTAACTTCATAATTGCTTTAGGTAGTCATTTATGTTTGAACACACGATTTTTTTTTTTGTTTCTCCCTTAGTGTTTTCTAAAAAGGCCTGATTTAATGTGTAAAATAGAACCTGTGAATCTACTGCCCCACAGCGTTTATCCTCATTATCAAAGATTGACCTCAGGATTACCCCCATTCTCCATTTACATAATTATTGACTCCTAAACACATTACATTTTACACATATGCACATTTTTGCTTACTCAATATTATATGAAAGAGAGAAAATCAACTAGGAGAGGCATAGTCTCCTCTGTGGTACGTGAGTGCTAATGGTCTGTTTTGTCTTCAGTTCTTTTTGCCATCTGTCAGTTGTACCATGTTGGAATTAATCTTTCTATTCTTTGGAACACTGGTAGTTTGTGATTGTATGCTGTTTGTCACATCCCTTGTCTTATAGCAGATGCTTGTAGCAATCACAGGTAAAGTCTCTTCGTTTTATATAGTACATCATTGTGATGAAGTAATAAATTTTAATTTTTAAAAAAAGAATCATAGGTGTAAGTGCATCATTAAATGAAGCAAGTTGCCTTCATCTAGGTTATATGTACACATGCATGACTTTTGGCAAGCTTTGAGATGGAGTATATTTATATGAAAAGAAAAATAGTGGAGATTTATAGAAAGTTGAGGTGAGCTAATTTTAAAAGTCGTAGTTACATAAAATGCTTAACACTATATTTTTCCCTCATGAATAGATACATATTTTATCAGTCTATACGCAGTGTACCTCTCTGTGTCTCTCTGTTGATTCTAATGCTTGTTTAAATCAGTGGATAAAAGGGGAAAAAATAAAAGTACTGTAGTTTTTTTTTCATGATCAGATCTGATTGAATGGGTAGAGAGTGCTTATAGTTATCATCAGTTAGTTACATATAAATGCTTGTAAATTCTTAAATAGTGTTTCTTAATATTCCTAATATTTCTCAGGTGTTTCTTAATATTCTCAGAATTACTATGTAAATTTCTACTGGCTATAAAGAAAGGTGTTTTGTTTTGTTTTGTTTTTAACTGCAGCCAGTCTTTGTCCCATAATGACAAATTATGACTGACTTGATAGTGTATGAAGTAATGGTATTTTATTCATGAAAACGATCTGTAAATATCTAATGAAAAAACCAAAGGTATATTGCTCTGTATCCTAATATAAAACCGTTTCGTGGAATATTTCTGTTGGCTTTTTCTTTAGATTTCAGAAGTTGATTGCAAAGATGCACTGGAAATGATCTGTAACTTAGAATCTGAGGGTGATGAAAAAAGCGCTCTTGTCTTATGTACTGCATTTTTGTCACGTCAGCTCCAACAAGGAGATATGTACTGCGCTTGGTGAGTTGATTTTATTTTTTAAGAAATCATTGTTAAATAAGAATACAAAATAGGCTGTGAGAATTCATATGACTTAGGAACATAATTTAAAATCTTTTTAAGACAAAAGGCTTATATTTAGATATTACATGCTGGGCAAACTTATTATCAAGTAGTTGTTACCACTCTAAAAACTTTGTGTATTAAAGGCCACACAATTCCTTAGCATGCATACCAGTAATTATCTTTGGTCAGGAAAATTTTAAGTGTTAGAAAGCGAAAGAAAGACTTGTTTTGTCCAATGCCACCATAACATTTTTTAGATATGTAAGCAGTACATTTCTTCTTACGGTACATTTTCAGCTGGGCATAGCTTGTTATATGTAATCCTTTGGAAGGCTACAAGAAACAGAGATGTTGGTTTCAGTTAATGAAAAAACTGAAGATCATCTGCCTTAAATTAGCTTTCGCTAACACTGACAATTTATCTGGTCAGTCAACAGCACTATAATTCTTCAGTGTTGTGTTCATATTATGGGAACACATAAGAAAACTTGGTTTATAAAATTCCAACATTTAAGAATATTTACCAAATGACAGCATACAAATGAATAATAGAACAGCAAGGTAAATCAATGATTGTGTAATCAATAAAGATTGAAGCTTATAAAAGATTTCTAAGCATTGAGCCTTGTTATGAAGGCAAAGTAGTATATGCAATACAGAGGATTGGTATGAAAGGCAGAAAGATTCTGAAGGGAGAATAAGTAAGATATATTTATCCAGGACAAGTATAATAGGTTTTCTAGTTATACTACCAGAAAATCAGTGATGACTAAAAAATTAGTATGTTATGTTGGTTTTTACAAAGGCATCAAAAGCTAAGTTTCATATGCTAAGCAAAAGCAGTCCATTATAAGCTCTTGAAGGGCAACATAGAAGTTTATGTTCAAGAAACACTGTTTAAGATAAGCAGTTGTGAGTTGATTGACGACTCAATAGTGAGGGCAGAGTTGGACAAGGAAGTAGCAGTACAGAGTTCAGACAGAAAATCAACTGGAAAGCCAGTAAATCAACTGGGAAATTACTGTGACATAGATTAGTGTCTTCTGGGTTTTTTGTCAGCATTGGTTTTTATATTCATCTAATAATAATAACCTTATTATCAATTTTAAATTTGTTAGGAGATAAAAGAGAAATGCTGTTTAAAAATCATGTCATTGATATGTTTTATATATATACACACACATACACGTACGTACACACACGTATCTTGAGCTTTCTTATTACATAAAGTTCACACGTCGCTCAAAGTTATCATCTGTATAACTCGTTTAAATGTTAAATGCTGGCTGGGCACGGTGGCTCATGCCTGTAATCCCAGTACTTTGGAAGGCTGAGGTGGGCGGATCACCTGAGGTCAGGAGTTTGAGACCAGCCTGGCCAACATGGTGAAACCCCATCTCTACTAAAAATAAAAAATTGGCCAGGCATGGTGGTGCGCACCTGTAATCCCAGCTACTCAGGAGCCTGAGGCACAAGAATCGCTTGAACCTGGGAGGCAGAGGTTGCAGTAAGTGGAGATTGCGCCACTGCACTCCAGCCTGGGTGACAGTGAGACTGCCTCCAAAAAAAAAATGTTAGATGCTTTCCTAGTAAAAGGTAATGCTTCTCTGGGACTGAAAAATATTAATAAAATGATTAATCATATCCTGATTTTATTTGGTATTTAGATAGTTGGGATCTATTTTCTTGCATTTAAACTTAAGCATGCATATAGGATTGGAATATAAAACCAGTTTTAATTTCAAATGTAATGACTGGACTAATGTGGTCCATGATTATTACATTACTGCTCCAACTTTTCTTACTGTAACTTTTTTTTTTTTTAAGGGAACTTACTCTCTTTTGGAGTAAATTACAACAAAGAGTAGAACCATCTATACAAGTGTACCTTGAGAGGTGTCGTCAACTTTCTTTGTTAACGAAAACAGTATATCACATTTTCTTCCTGATTAAAGTTATTAATTCAGAGGTAAGAATAATCAGAATATTTTTACGGTTAAAATGTATACATTATCATTAATAAAAGACTATAACTTTTATGATTTTGGCACCCTTTTCAGTGATTTTTAAAATGTTTCATTTAATCCTTTGAACATTTTCTTGTTAGTCCTTTAAGATGCTTGATACAGAAAGACTTAAAAATGCAGTTGAGATCCAGGGGCTTGTTCTTACTTACCCAAAAGAAAAGTAATATATGTAATACTTAAATTATATCATTCTTTGTTTTGGTTCTAGGTGTTACACTACTTTAATAATTTGACTATAGAAATTTAAAAAGTAGGCTGGGCACAGTGGTTCACACCTGTAATCCCAACACTTTGGGAGGCCGAGGTGGGCAGATCACAAGGTCAGGAGTTCGAGACTAACCTGACCAATATGGTGAAATCCTGTCTCTACTAAAAATACAAAAATTAGCCAGGTGTGGTGGCGTGCACCTGTAATCCCAGCTACTCAGGAGGCTGAGGCAGTAGAATTGCTTGAACCCAGGAGGTGGAGGTTGCAGTGAGCCGAGATCACGCCACTGCACTCGAGCCTGGGCAACAGAGCAAGACTCCATCTCAAACAAACTAACAAAAAGAAACTTAAAAAGTATAAAGAAGAATATATAGTGCTAGGTTCCTTTGCTAGCAGAAGGGAAGATTACATTATCTAAAATTCTACAAACAGCCACAAATACGTGATAAAATAAAACAAACATCTCTTTTATTGTGTAGCAGCTGAGATTGCAGGAATATTTGGGCTCAAAAGGTGAAACCTAAAAACAGGAACAGAAAGCTTGAATGGATACTGAGCCTCACCTAACCTGGAGATTGGGATAAGTTGCTACTTGCAGTAACTAAGTAGTTGGAAGTTTGATATTTACACACGGACGGGAGATAGCTATATGGAGATAAGATCTTGGGCCAGGCCAGGGTGCTCATGCCCATAGTCCCAGTACTTTGGGAGGCCAAGGTGGGTGGATCACCTGAGGTCAGAAGTTTGAGGTCAGTCTGGCCAACATGATGAAACCCCATCTCTACTAAAGTAAGTGGCGCCTGCCTGTAGTCCCTGCTGAGGTGGGAGGATAGCTTGAGCCTGAGAGACAGAGGTTGCAGTGAGCCGAGATTGCACCACTGCACTCCAGCCTGGGCGACAAGCAAGACCCTGTCTCAAAAACAAAAAGTAGTCCGGACGTGGTGGCTCACGCCTGTAATCCCAGCATTTTGGGAGGCCAAGCTGGGTGGATCACTTAAGCCCAGAAGTTTAAGACCAGCCTGGCCAACATGGCAAAACCATGCTCTACTAAAATTACAGAAAATTAGCTGGGCATGGCGGCAGGTGCCTGTAGTCCCAGCTACTCTGGAAGTTGAGACACAAGAATCGCTTGAGCCTAGGAGGCGGAGGTTACAGTGAGCCGAGATGGCACCACTGCACTCCAGCCTGGGAGACAGAGTGAGACTTGGTCTTTAAAAAAAAAAAAAAAGATCTTGGGCCAGCTCTACTTGTCTGCTTGGGTAGGTAGATCTGAAACAACCACCCCCTCACCACATATACACACACGTGCGCACGCATGCATACACGAGCACTACACAAAGCTGGAAACTGTGAAGTTCTATAATTTTATTGAAAAGGTAGACTAGAAAAATAATACTGTCTAACACAGATGGATGGTAGGGAATTTTAGGTATGTCCAACTGGACTCTGGGTCAGAGGAAGAAATTCTTTAGGAAGTTATAACTACAAGTCTACCCTCGTACAGATTTGGGAGCCACATTTACCCTAGCTGTATAGTTCAGAAATCCCTATGCCAAGTAAGTTAATGTTTAAGAAGGTGAGGATGAATACCTAAGATTCCTGCAGAAGGAAATGCCGAACTGCTTTGGGAGGGACGTATTGTCAACACAGGTGTTTCATAAAGCCCTGCTTAACATGAGTTCACCATTAAGATTTATAAAGATACAAAACTATCTGACCTGAGTGATTTTCAGCAAAGGAATAATAGGATTACTTGCCTAATACTTTAAATAATATAATTATGGAAAAATCTGGGAAGTGTATATATTTAAACACTTAAAATAAGGAATTAAAGTATGAGAAAGACAGTATCAAAATGACCAAGCATTGTAAAAAGAGTCAAAAGAACGTTTGGAAATAAACATATATAGTTATTGAAATGAAAATTTTAACAGGTGGATTATACAGATTAGACACAACTGAAGAGTGAGTTGATGAGTAGAGGTTGCATATGTGTTTCCATTTATTTATTACTATTAAATATTAATAAATCAGAATTCCAGTTTCGTAAAGTTAGTGATTTTCTTATAGTAACCTTTGTAGAAATGCAGTTGGTTTCCATTTAAATGTACACAGAAAACACCTTCCAAAGGTGCTACCATTGTGTAGAATCTAAAAACTGAGATGCAGCATGATTAAGAAGTATTTTTAAATGAATGTATAATTGTTTTTGAAAGGAAGGACCAAAAGATACTCTCCTATTCCTCTTTATAAGTACCTTTTAAAATCTGTCATTGGTCAGTAAGTCTTAGATGTATCTTCATTTTTCTCTCCTAAAAATAATTTCTCTTCATTTTCAGGAGGAAAGAATATGAATGAATCCTGCTTTCCAGTTTTTCCTCTGTCACCCTTGTTAACTTGTCCTGATTTTTCATTTATATATTGCGGTGCTGCAGTTAAAAAATAAAGTAGCTGGGCATGATCACTTGAGCCCCAGATTTCAAGACCAGCCTGGGCAACATAGCAAGACCCTGTCTCCAAAACAAAACAAACAAAAACCTGAAAGGGACCAATAATAAATTTCTTATGAAACTACTATGCAGTTTTAAATTATAGATTGTGCCACTAACTTAAAAAACAGCACGACAGAGTAGAGTAGAAAGAAGTTGAAACTAGAATCCAAACTGGGTATAAATCTTGACTTGGAATTGACCTTAATCACTGTAGGTTTCATTACTACTAAATCAGATAAATTGAGGAGGTTAGGTAAAAGTGACCATCCTTCTTCAGTCTTACTCCCTACTCATAAAGAGACTGTGGTGGGCCAGAGAATGGGGTGTAAAATACTAGACAAGAGCTGCGCTGTCCATTATGGTAGTCACATTTTAGTTGCTGAGTAGCTCCATGTTGCTAGTGGCTATGCCAGATATAGAACTGTGCTAGTGGACAGCACAGATATAGAACATTCCCGTTATCACTAATAGTTCTGTTGGGTAACACTATTGCAGAGAATTTGGGTTCAGAATTAGAGTATATTAAAAAGCAGTTAAAAGTATGAATAGCTTTGGAAGTTGGCAGTGGTAGCAGCCGCCTTTTCTGTTGTTGCTTTTGTTGGTTGGTTGGTTTTTGAGAGAGTCTTCCTTTGTCATCCAGACTGGAGTGTAGTGCTGCAAATCACAGCTCACTGCAGCCTCAACTTCCCAGGCTTGAGCAGTGCTCTCACCTAGCCCCCTAAGTAGCTGGGACTGCAGGTGTGTACCATCACACTTGGCTAATTTTTTTATTTTTTGTAGAGATGGGGTCTCACGATATTGCCCAGATTTATCTCCAACTCCTGGGCTCAAGCAATTCTCCCTGCCTTGGCCTTCCAAAGTGGTAGGATTACAGATACGAGCCACCACACGTGACCTTCGCAGCAGCCTTCTTGACAGGGATAGTATGCACCATGGTAATTGCTCTTTGCCCAAAAACCTTGCTGCTTGTTGCAAGAAATTTTTTTCCCTTTGTTTTTTTACTTTCTGAAATCTGATCAAGCAGAGGTTTTATCTTAAAACTAGAATCATAGATTATTATTATTTTAGGACTGAAGAGACCTTAAAGTTAAGCTATAGTGATTAGATTTTGGTGTAATAACTCTCTTCATTTTCCACATAGAGGTTAACCTCGATGTAGTGATTTGGATTAACTGGTAACCCCTTTTTTTCTCTTTTTGATATGGACCCTCCCTCTGTTGCCCAGGCTGGAGTGCAGTGGTGCAATCTCGGCTCACTGCAACCTCCATCTCCTAGGTTCAGGCGATTCTCGTGCCTCAGCCTCTTGAGTAGCCGGGATTACAGGTGGACACCACCATGCCCAGCTAATTTTTGTATTTTTAGTAAAGACCGGGTTTTACCATGTTGGCCAGGCTGGTCTCGAACTCCTGACCTCAGGTGATCTGCCCACCTCAGCCTCCCAAAGTGCTAGGATTACAGGCGTGAGCCGCTACACCCAGCCAACTGGTAACCCTAAAAAAAAAAAAAAAAAAAAAAAAAAAAAGACTCCAGGAATTGAAGACTATCAGCCAGCTACTCATATGTTAATTTAAAATACAGTTGGCCCTCCACATTCATGGGTTCCACATCAGTGGATTCAACCACCTACAGATTGAAAATATTTAGGGGTCAGGTGTGATGGCTCACATGTAATCCCAGCACTTTGGAAGACTTAAACCCAGGAGTTTGAGGCCAGCCTGGGTAAAACAGTGAAACCTGATCTCTACCAAAAAAAAAAAATTAGCCAAACATAGTGGTGTGCCTGTAATCCCAGCTACTCAGGAGGCTGAGATGGGAGGATCACGTGAGCCTGGGAGGCAGAAATTGCAGCGAGCCAAGATCATGCCACTGAACCAGGTTCACTCCACTGCACTCCAACCTGGGTGACAAAGTGAGACCCTGTGTCAAAAAAGAAAAGGAAACAAAAATTCTATAGAGTTCCAAAAAGCAAAACCTGAATTTGCCACAAGCGTACTATGTTGAATCTATGCAAATGAAGTAATATGTAGCCATTTATTAGGTATTATAAGTAATACATAGATGATTTAAATTATGTGAGAGGATGTCCATAGTTTGTATGCAAATACTATGCCATTTTATATAAGGGACTTGAGCATTGTGGATTTTGGTATCCACAGGAATCCTGGAACCAGTGCCCCCAGATTCTGAAGGACAACTGTAATTAACATCTTAAATCCTAATTGAGATCTGCAAAGGAATTGGAGCGGATAGCTTGGGATCTTTTTATTCATATAGTATACTCTTCCCTAGACTCCTTGAGGTTTAAGAGTTAAAAAAAATACATCCCTGCCTTTAAGGATTTTGTAGTCTGTTGATGGAAACTCAAAACCAATAGCAATATTATATGAGTCTTTCTACTAGAGTGGAATCTTGATCTGGTGAGGGTACATTACTTAGTGCAGTTCCTGGTATAAAAGTAGATTCTGAATGAATAAAAGAAGTGGGCCATAATAACCCACTTGTCTATTTTCGCTACTCAATTAGTAATGACTAAAGAGGGAGGAGAGAGTGTTCCTAGTCACAGAAAAAACACATAAAGTAGTATCAAGATAAATGAGAGAATTGAATATTTGGGTAACTACAGGTAGCTCAGTTGTTTGAGTGGAGGGAAAGATAAAAGAGGAAACTAGAACATATGAGGCAGTGGTCAGACTGTGAAGTCCTTTTTGTATTCCACACTAAGGTTTGTATTTTATTCTGAAATATGTGGTAATTATTCAAAGAGTTTTAAAACCGGGTAAAACGTGATGTTAAGAGTGGGTAGGGAAGGACTGGATAGGATGTTGTGGGAAACTAAAAGCAACATGTAAGCCTTGGATAGCTTTAGGTCAAGGATAGTAGGCAGCCAGAGGAAAGGAACAGAAAAGGCAATGGGAAGAAGGTACAAAAGACAAACCTTTCTGTTTTCCGGAACTTGTCTGGTGCTGTTCTTTTCCTGGAAAGGGGTTGAGTGTCTGTTCCTCCTCTGAATTCATGTCACTTAGCTTTCTGTTCTTGTGACTCATAAATTTAAGCTTGTGCTATTAGTATTTATGATTAACTTATGAATTAAGTAGATTTTTCTCGGCAAATCATTTAATTACATTGTCTTTATAGAAAATTATTGTGAATTCAAATTCAACTTTTAAAACTTACCTGCTGTATAGCCAGTTTATGATTTTAATGTTGCCTGTTCACTTATTTTCAAGTACACACATGAAAGGTCAGAAGAAAAAAAATTGTAAAATATAGTTTATTTTGTTTCTTTGACATTATGTAAAGGTTTCAGGTTTAATTACAACATGAAAATGTTTTTAAAGCAAATTTATTGAGGCGCCTCACCGTTAATGAATCGAAATGACCCTTCGAATTTAGTTGCAGACTGGATTAGAATAGAATGTCAGTGGAATTCCCCTTTTAAATAGTTTAGGTGTGTCTTGTGAGCAATAAGTAGAATTCTTTTTTGTTGTTTTTGTTTTTGTTTTTGTTTTGAGATGGAGTCTTGCTCTGTTGCCCAGGCTGGAGTGCAGTGGCGCAATCTCGGCTCACTGCAAGCTCCGCCTCCTGGGTTCACGCCATTCTCCTGCCTCAGCCTCCTGAGTAGCTGGGACTACAGGCGCCCACCACCATGCCCGGCTAATTTTTTTGTATTTTTAGTAGTCACCGGGTTTCACCGTGTTAGCCAGGATGGTCTCGATCTCCTGACCTCATGATCCGCCCGTCTCGGCCTCCCAAAGTGCTGGGATTACAGACGTGAGCCACTGCACCCGGCCAATAAGTAGAATTCTTATCAGCTTTTGCCATTCCTGGAGAAGAGGCTCAACATTCATATGATACAAATAGTTATCTTCTGCAAGACAGATACCCTTCATCCAGAAATCCTTCATTCTCTGAATCTTTTTTTTTTTTTTTGAGACCCAGTTTCGCTATTGTTGCCCAGGCTGGAGTGCAGTGGCGCAGTCTCAGCTCACAGCAGCCTCCACCTTCTGTGTTCAAGTGATTCTCCTGCCTTAGCCTCCTCAGTAGCGGGGATTACAGGTGCCCGCCACCACACCCAGCTAATTTTTTGTATTTTTAGTAGAGACTGGGTTTCATCATGTTGGCCAGGCTGGCCAGGCTGGTCTCGAACTTCTGACATCAGGTGATCCACCTGCCTCAGCCTCCCAAAGTGCAGGGATTACAGGCATGAGCCACAATGCCGGTCCTCTCTGAATCCTTTTTTAAATTCATTTATTTCTCCATCATTTCCTGAATTTCTGAAGAATCACACCCCTTCTCAGAACTTTCACCAGTAAGAACTTGTACCAGTTCTTCTGACATTATTATATGTGCCTTCAGTATTACTTTTAATCATCTTTATGGTTTACTTGGCCATTAAGTCCTCCCAGACTTATTTGTGCCTTTCCATGTGTAGAATGCAGCTTCACAGACCACCGGTAATTTTTTTCTTTCTTGCATATCGTAATAGAGGAGTGACCTAATTGTTCACCCTTAGCAGCCCCGTAAGGCATGTAACAGAGATGCAGATGTTTTACTGTACAAGTTTTAAGGCACAGATCTATCTAGGAATAGTATAATATATACAAGTTTATATGAAATCTAGAGACACCCATATGGTCCCACTTCGTTACCAGTTTTCATCTTCCCTGTCATTTTTTTTAAATTATTATTCTTTTTAAGAGACAGGGTCTTGCTCTGTTGCCCAGGCTGGAGTGCAGTGTGCAATCCTAGCTTACTGCAGCCTCAAATTCCCAATTTCAAACAATCCTCCTGCCTCAGCCTTCTGAGTAACTAGGATTACAGGCACATGCTACCATGCCCAGCTAATTTTTTGTTTGTTTGTTTTGGTAGAGATGGGGTCTTTCTGTATTGCCCAGGCTGATCTCAAACTCTTGGCCTCAATCAGTCCTTCCCACCTTGCCTTCCCAAAGCACTGGGATTACAGGCATAAGCCATGAGCCACCATGCCCAGCCTTTTTGTTTTTTTGGAGACAGGGTCTCACTTTGTCACCCAGGCTGGATTGCAGTGGTGCGATCTCTGCTCACTGCAGCCTCAGCCTTCCAGGTTCAAGTGATCCTCCTTTCTCACCCCCACAGGTAGCTGAGACTACAGCTGCATACCACCACACCTGGCTAATTTTTGTACTTTTTGTAGAGATGGGGTCTCCCTGTGTTGCCCAGGCTGGTCTCGAACTCCTGAGCTCAAGTGATCCTCCTGCCTCAAAGCCTTCCAAAGTGTTTGGATTATAAGCATGTGCCACCGCCCCCAGCCTAGCCTATCATTTTAAAAATAGGTCTCATCATGCTATTCTTTCTATTCATTTTCTTTTTGGTCATTGTGCTCTTGCTGTTTCTAAAATCAAGGCCAATTCAGTATCCCAGGCTCCTTTTCCTTTTAAGTAAAAATACGTTTGCCCTACAAGTTTAAGCTTGTTTTGGTATAATATTTACTTCTTAACTTATGATAATACAGGCCCTATCAGTTCTCTCTACCTATTTTCTTTGTTGCCTTTTGATCCTGTATCATACATATTTTATTCCAATGAATGTGGCCACATCCTGTGGCTATCTTATTTCTCATTTATCTTTGTTCCCTTCTTGTCTTTAAAACCTATTTTTATCTCTTTACCCTATGTGTCTTTCAAATGACTCTTAACTTTGTTATTGCTATCTAATAATAATAGTTTAAAATGCTAATTCAAAAGAAAAAGTATGTTGGGCTATGTCTACCCCTACTTCTAATTCTTAAGCTGGTCCCGCTATGAGGTAGGTAATTTGACATTCGCTTTTATGATAGCACTAGAATCTCCACTATTAGGGATTAGTACCTTATTTTATAGAAGCAAACTATTTCAGTACTGATAAGTTTGGAAATATGGGGATGTTCTCAGTTTTATAATTAGATTAGGAGGGTTTTGTTTCAGAAAGATTGCTTATGCAAACAGGAAGAGTTACAATAAGGATGACATTTATTGATCATTTACTATGTGCCAGACATTATACTAAACTATAACACATACTTAATCTCCTTTAATACAGCAATTTAATGAAGTTTAAGTGCTGTTTTGACCTCTGTTTTATAAGTGGGATATGAAAGGTCAAAAAAGTTAAATTAACTTCCAAGTTTGCCTAGACATTAAATAATTTCATACCCAGGTCTTAGCTTCTAATACTTATGCGTTTTCTGCCATTCTATGCAGTTCATTTTACATACACACATAACAGCCTAAGGTGCAGTGCTTTAGAAGGGGAATCCTTTCATAAGCTGCTATTGCAAGATTTGAGAAAAATCTCAATCTTGACTAAATTCTGAAATAAATTAGTGTTGATTAGTGTAGCTTAAATTAACATTTCCTGTTTGCTTTTTCACAGACTGAAGGGGCTGGACTTGCTACCTGTATAGAACTGTGTGTAAAAGCTCTTCGCTTGGAGTCTACAGAAAATACTGAAGTGAAAATATCTATTTGCAAGACCATTTCATGTTTGTTGCCTGATGATCTGGAAGTAAAACGTGCTTGTCAACTGAGTGAATTTCTTATTGAGCCTACAGTAGATGCGTATTATGCTGTGGAAATGTTGTATAATCAGCCAGACCAGAAATATGATGAAGAGAATCTTCCAATACCAAATTCTCTACGCTGTGAGCTGTTACTTGTGTTGAAAACTCAGTGGCCCTTTGATCCAGAATTCTGGGATTGGAAAACCTTGAAACGACAATGCCTTGCATTAATGGGGGAAGAAGCATCCATTGTGTCTTCAATAGATGAACTGAATGACAGTGAAGTATATGAAAAAGTAGACTACCAAGAAGAGAGTAAAGAAACTTCTATGAATGGACTTTCTGGTGGAGTTGGTGCTAATTCTGGCCTTCTTAAAGACATTGGTGATGAAAAGCAGAAGAAGAGAGAGATAAAACAGTTAAGAGAGAGGGGATTTATATCTGCTAGGTTTAGGAATTGGCAAGCCTACATGCAGTATTGTGTGTTGTGTGACAAAGAATTCCTTGGTCACAGAATAGTACGACATGCTCAGAAACATTACAAAGATGGAATTTATAGTTGCCCCATATGTGCAAAGAACTTTAATTCTAAAGAAACTTTTGTCCCTCATGTCACACTGCATGTTAAACAATCTAGTAAAGAGAGACTAGCAGCTATGAAACCGTTAAGAAGATTGGGAAGGCCTCCAAAGATCACAACTGCCAATGAAAATCAGAAGACTAATACTGTGGCTAAACAAGAGCAGCGACCTATAAAAAAGAATAGTCTCTATTCAACAGATTTTATAGTGTTTAATGACAATGATGGTTCAGACGATGAGAATGATGACAAAGATAAATCCTATGAGCCAGAAGTGATTCCAGTCCAGAAACCAGTACCTGTTAATGAATTTAATTGCCCTGTAACTTTTTGTAAAAAGGGCTTTAAGTACTTTAAAAATTTAATTGCTCATGTAAAGGGGCATAAAGATAATGAAGATGCTAAGCGCTTTCTTGAAATGCAGAGCAAAAAAGTTATTTGCCAGTACTGTAGGCGGCATTTTGTGAGTGTTACTCATCTCAATGATCACTTACAGATGCACTGTGGCAGTAAACCATATATCTGTATACAGATGAAATGTAAAGCTGGTTTTAATAGTTATGCCGAGCTTTTAACCCACCGAAAGGAGCATCAAGTCTTTAGAGCAAAATGTATGTTTCCTAAATGTGGAAGAATTTTTTCAGAAGCTTATTTACTGTATGATCATGAAGCACAACATTATAATACGTACACTTGCAAGTTCACAGGTTGTGGCAAAGTTTATCGTTCTCAGGGTGAGCTGGAAAAGCATCTGGATGATCACAGTACTCCTCCTGAAAAAGTGCTGCCTCCTGAAGCCCAACTTAATTCATCTGGAGATTCCATTCAGCCTTCTGAAGTGAATCAGAACACAGCAGAGAATACTGAGAAAGAAAGATCTGTGCTTCCTTCAGAAAATAACATTGAAAACAGCTTACTGGCAGATAGAAGTGATGCTTGGGATAAAAGCAAAGCAGAATCAACTGTGACCAAACAAGACCAGATTTCTGCCTCTGAGCTCAGGCAAGTTAATGGACCGTTGTCAAATGGTTTGGAAAACTCTGCTACTACTCCTCTGCTTCAATCCAGTGAAGTAGCTGTGTCCATTAAGGTGTCTCTCAATCAGGGGATTGAGGATAACTTTGGAAAGCAAGAAAACTCAACTGTGGAAGGCAATGGTGAATCTCTGGTTACAGACTTACATACACCAGTTGAAGATACTTGTAATGATTTATGTCATCCAGGTTTCCAGGAGAGAAAAGAACAAGATTGCTTTAATGAAGCCCAGGTTACTCAGAATTCTTTAGTAAATTCAGAAACTCTCAAAATAGGTGACCTTACCCCACAAAACTTAGAAAGACAAGTGAACAACTTGATGACCTTTTCTGTGCAAAATCAGGCAGGATTTCAAAACAATTTACCAACTTCCAAATTTGAATGTGGAGATAATGTTAAAACATCATCCAATCTTTATAATTTACCTCTTAAGACATTAGAAAGTATTGCATTTGTTCCGCCACAGCCCAATCTAAGTAATTCATTAGGAACCCCATCAGTGCCTCCAAAAGCTCCAGTTCAGAAATTCAGCTGCCAGGTCGAGGGATGTACTCGAACCTATAACTCTTCACAGAGTATTGGGAAACACATGAAGACAGCACACCCTGACCAATATGCTGCATTTAAAATGCAGCGCAAAAATAAAAAAGGTCAGAAAGCTAACAACTTAAATACACCAAATAATGGAAAGTTTGTTTATTTTTTGCCATCACCGGTGAACAGCTCAAATAATGCATTTTTTACATCACAGACCAAAGCCAATGGGAATCCTACTTGTTCGGCCCAGTTGCAGCATGTCTCGCCTCCCATTTTTCCAGCTCATTTAGCAAGTGTGTCAACTCCATTGTTGTCCTCAATGGAAAGTGTCATAAATCCAAATATAACTTCTCAGGATAAAAATGAACAAGGTGGTATGTTATGTTCCCAAATGGAAAATTTACCTAATACTGCCTTGCCAGCACAAATGGAAGATCTAACCAAAACAGTTCTGCCTTTGAATATTGACAGTGGCTCAGATCCTTTCCTTCCTTTACCTGCAGAAAGTAGTTCAATGTCTCTCTTCCCTTCACCAGCAGATAGTGGGACTAATTCTGTTTTTTCCCAACTGGAAAATAATACAAATCATTATTCCTCACAGATGGAAGGAAACACTAATTCCTCCTTTCTAAAGGGGGGTAATGGTGAAAATGCAGTTTTTCCTTCACAAGTGAATGTTGCAGATAACTTCAGTAGCACCAATGACCAACAGTCTGCACCTGAAAAAGTTAAAAAAGACCGTGGGCGGGGCCCAAATGGGAAGGAAAGAAAACCTAAGCACAACAAAAGGGCTAAATGGCCTGCAATTATCAGAGATGGGAAATTTATCTGTAGCAGATGTTACAGGGCTTTTACTAATCCCAGATCACTGGGTGGGCACTTATCCAAGCGATCTTACTGTAAACCACTGGATGGAGCCGAAATTGCTCAAGAACTTCTACAGAGTAATGGACAGCCTTCTCTTCTTGCCAGCATGATTCTCTCCACAAATGCAGTAAATTTGCAGCAGCCACAACAATCTACCTTCAATCCAGAAGCATGCTTTAAAGATCCATCATTTCTACAGCTGCTTGCTGCTGAAAATCGCTCGCCAACATTTTTACCAAATACATTTCCTCGACCTGGTGTGACTAACTTTAATACCAGTGTCAGTCAAGAAGGTAGTGAAATTATTAAACAGGCTTTGGAAACTGCTGGCATTCCCAGTACATTTGAGGGTGCCGAGATGCTTTCTCATGTTTCAACAGGTTGTGTCTCTGATACACCACAAGTAAATGCAACAGTGATGCCAAATCCAACTGTGCCACCCCTGTTGCAGACTGTATGCCATCCAAACACCTTGCTGACCAACCAGAATAGGACATCAAACTCCAAAACTTCCTCCATTGAGGAATGTAGCAGCTTGCCTGTTTTTCCAACGAATGACTTACTACTGAAGACTGTTGAAAATGGTTTGTGCTCTAGTTCATTTCCTAATTCTGGTGGGCCATCACAAAATTTTACCAGTAACAGTTCTCGTGTTTCTGTTATAAGTGGTCCTCAGAACACAAGATCCAGTCATTTAAATAAAAAGGGAAACAGTGCTTCTAAGAGAAGAAAGAAAGTTGCTCCTCCACTAATTGCACCTAATTCTTCCCAAAACTTGGTAACAAGTGACTTAACAACAATCGGACTCATAGCAAAGAGTGTTGAAATCCCAACTACTAACCTTCACTCAAATGTAATTCCAAGTTGTGAACCTCAGAGTTTGGTGGAAAATCTAACACAGAAGTTAAATAATGTTAACAATCAGTTATTTATGACTGATGTAAAAGAGAATTTCAAAACCAGTATTGAGTCCCATACAGTGTTAGCCCCTTTAACATTAAAAACTGAAAATGGTGATTCCCAAATGATGGCTTTGAATTCATGCACAACTTCAATAAATTCTGATTTGCAGATTTCTGAAGACAATGTTATACAAAACTTTGAGAAGACTCTTGAAATTATTAAAACTGCTATGAATTCTCAAATACTTGAGGTAAAAAGTGGATCTCAGGGTGCTGGTGAAACATCACAAAATGCTCAAATAAATTATAACATTCAGCTTCCTTCAGTAAACACTGTGCAAAATAACAAATTACCTGATTCTTCTCAGTTTTCCTCCTTTATAAGCGTCATACCAACAAAAAGTAACATTCCTCAGTCTGACGTATCACATAAGGAGGATCAAATACAGGAAATTTTAGAAGGCTTACAGAAACTAAAATTAGAAAATGACCTGTCCCCTCCAGCATCCCAGTGTGTACTGATAAATACATCAGTGACACTGACTCCCACGCCTGTTAAATCAACTGCAGATGTCACAGTTGTTCAGCCAGTTTCTGAAATGATAAACATTCAATTTAATGACAAAGTTAATAAACCCTTTGTGTGTCAAAACCAAGGCTGTAACTACAGTGCTATGACAAAGGATGCACTATTTAAGCACTATGGTAAAATTCATCAGTACACTCCAGAAATGATTCTTGAAATTAAGAAGAATCAATTGAAATTTGCTCCCTTTAAATGTGTAGTACCTACATGTACAAAAACATTTACAAGAAATTCTAACCTCCGGGCACACTGTCAATTGGTGCATCATTTTACAACTGAAGAAATGGTAAAGTTAAAAATTAAAAGGCCTTATGGAAGAAAATCTCAGAGTGAAAATTTGTCAGCCCCACGAAGTACACAAGTGAAAAAACAGCTAGCTATGACAGAGGAAAATAAAAAGGAATCTCAGCCTGCTTTAGAATTGAGAGCAGAGACCCAAACTACCCACAGTAATGTAGCAGTGATCCCAGAAAAACAACTTGTAGAAAAAAAAAGCCCTGACAAAACAGAAAGTTCTTTACAGGTGATTACAGTTACTTCAGAACAATGTAATACAAATGCACTCACAAACATACAAACCAAAGGACGGAAAATTAGGAGGCATAAAAAAGAAAAGGAGGAGAAAAAACGAAAGAAGCCAGTTTCCCAATCCCTTGAGTTTCCAACAAGATACAATCCTTACAGACCTTATCGATGTGTTCACCAGGGATGCTTTGCTGCCTTTACGATACAGCAAAACTTGATTCTCCATTACCAGGCTGTACACAAATCAGATCTACCTGCATTTTCAGCAGAGGTCGAAGAGGAAAGTGAAGCTGGCAAAGAAAGTGAAGAAACTGAAACTAAACAAACTTTGAAAGAATTTCGATGTCAGGTAAGTGACTGTTCTCGAATTTTCCAAGCAATTACTGGCCTAATACAACACTACATGAAACTTCATGAAATGACTCCTGAAGAAATTGAAAGTATGACTGCTTCAGTGGATGTTGGGAAATTTCCGTGTGACCAGTTAGAGTGTAAATCTTCATTTACTACATATTTGAACTATGTTGTTCATCTAGAGGCAGACCATGGAATTGGACTAAGGGCAAGTAAAACCGAAGAAGATGGTGTATACAAATGTGATTGTGAAGGCTGTGACCGTATATATGCAACCCGGTCAAATCTCCTCCGACACATTTTTAATAAGCATAATGACAAACATAAGGCTCATTTGATTCGCCCAAGAAGATTAACACCTGGTCAGGAAAATATGTCAAGCAAGGCAAACCAGGAAAAATCAAAGTCTAAACATCGGGGAACGAAACACAGCAGATGTGGAAAGGAAGGAATAAAAATGCCCAAGACCAAACGAAAGAAAAAAAATAATTTAGAAAACAAGAATGCAAAGATTGTGCAGATTGAAGAAAATAAGCCTTATTCTCTGAAACGTGGGAAGCATGTATATTCTATAAAGGCTAGAAATGATGCCCTGTCTGAGTGTACAAGCAGATTTGTAACCCAGTATCCATGTATGATAAAGGGATGTACTTCGGTTGTTACAAGTGAAAGCAATATAATTAGACATTATAAGTGCCATAAATTATCTAAGGCATTTACATCGCAACACCGAAATCTTCTTATTGTATTCAAACGGTGTTGCAACTCACAAGTAAAGGAAACGTCTGAGCAAGAAGGTGCTAAGAATGACGTGAAAGATTCTGACACGTGTGTATCAGAGAGCAATGATAATTCAGGAACAACAGCTACAGTTTCACAAAAGGAAGTTGAAAAAAATGAAAAAGATGAAATGGATGAACTAACAGAATTGTTTATTACAAAATTAATAAATGAAGATAGCACAAGTGTAGAGACCCAGGCTATTACTTCTTCAAATGTGATTAACGATTTTCAGGAAGATAACCCCTGCCAGTCAGAAAGACAAAAAGCAAGTAATTTGAAGAGAGTTAATAAAGAAAAAAATGTCTCACAAAATAAAAAAAGGAAAGTTGAAAAAGCTGAACCAGCATCGGCAGCTGAGTTAAGTAGCGTGCGTAAAGAAGAAGAAACTGCTGTTGCCATTCAAACCACTGAGGAGCGTCCTGCATCTTTTGACTGGAGCTCTTTTAAGCCAATGGGATTTGAAGTATCATTTCTGAAGTTTCTTGAGGAGTCTGCAGTGAAGCAGAAGAAAAATATTGACAAAGACCATCCAAATACTGGAAACAAAAAAGGATCCCATTCAAATTCAAGAAAAAATACTGATAAGACTGCTGTGACTAGTGGAAATCATGTATGTCCTTGTAAAGAAAGCGAAACGTTTGTACAGTTTGCCAATCCATCACAGCTTCAGTGCAGTGATAATGTAAAAATTGTTTTAGACAAGAATCTTAAAGATTGCACTGAGCTTGTCTTAAAGCAGCTTCAGGAAATGAAACCTACCGTCAGTCTGAAAAAACTTGAAGTACATTCAAATGATCCAGATATGTCTGTTGTGAAAGATATCAGTATAGGTAAAGCCACAGGCAGAGGTCAGTACTGATAATTAATGTAGTATAAATACATCATTTACCATTTTATTTTAAATAGGAAGCCATCAAGCATGCTAGAATTGTGGAACTTTCATTATATTTTTTGTTGTTGTCATGAATTAACCTGGCCAAAAACAAAAAACAAACAAAAAAAAAAACATGACATTGTCATGTAAAACTTTTTTTTTTATCCCTATGGGACTTGAGGAACAGAATCAGTACTTCAGTTATTGTAAATAGCTAAACCTCAAATTTCTATCACCCAATTGCCCTTTTCATGAACTAAACAATTATCTGTGTGATTGGTATGTTTCACCAGGTCACTGCTCATGTATAACAGTACTCTTTATTTGTAGATACCTTTTTTGTATATATTTATTATTGTAAATCATGTGCTGCCACCAGCAGTCTGTAAGTCTAAACTATTAAATGACACATTTATATTTGGAATTTTAATTTTTAACTAAGCGATCAAGTTTTTTAAATTGTTCTTTTATTGTTTTAAATTAAGAACTTTTTGAACTAAAACCAGAAACTCTGCCATAGTTCATTGATTTTTACATGAAACATTTATTTACAAGATGATATCAAGATTACTTTTCACAAAATAGGCACATTATATCAACACTTTGCTCTGCTTTGTGAATTTGCCATCCAGGATTTTGGGGTGGTATTCATGTGAAATTAAAGCAGATTCTTTAGCAGTTTCCTATAGCTACAGTTTTGGTTTTTGTTTTTTTTTTTTCCTCATTGCTTCTAATTGGATATAGTTACTATGAGTCCATGAAATATAATGGAAATGTGAATAAAGAATTTACTACATTGAAGATTTTAAACATTTGGTATTAAAAAAAAAATCCTTTGTGAATGTGATAGAAAACTAGTAGTGTGGAGCAGTGTAAATATTTGAGGTGGTGATTTGTGAAGTAGCCCAGTATTGCCTTAAATAAAATCACATTTCATTTCTTGTTTTATACATGTGATCTTATAAAGATTTTTTGTTTTGTTTTCCATTTTCTGAGATTTATAGATTGGTGTATAGCTTTAAACTGTATAAAGTTTTGTGGAAAGATTTTTTTAAACATTTTTATAAATCTTAAAATTGATATCATCAAAGTGAGCCCATCTTGTGTTTATAAAATACAAGAGTCCTTAACATTTATAATTACATAGATAAAACACTTTCTATAAGGAAGTTGGATGTTTTGATTTTACTGTTTATAGATGTTAGATTGTACAGATTTGTCTGTATTTCTCACCATATCTAATGATACTTTTTTCATTAGATTGGTCTTCAAGAGCAGTATTAGTTACAATTATTTTGGTTATTCAGTATATAGTTAGCTCTTACAGTTTAGCTTTATTCACCATATTTATACTGTGGATTCACAGCCAGAGGTAGAGGTTATTCCAGGAGAGTTGATGACCTTCATTTAAAGTCCAACTAAAATCAGTACTAGAAACAAAAGAAAACATCCTTGCAATATTTACTTTTGTTTCTGTTTGCCATAAATAGTAACATTGGTTTTTTTATTTTGTGTTTGTTATAAAACAGTTGCATTCACAATATTATTGGCCTGAGATATTGATGATATTGTGATGGTATGAAAATGTGTACATTCCCTGTGCAACATCAGATTTGCAGGAAAAATGAAGCACTTACTGAAATCGCTGGTACTCTGAATAAATAAGCATGGTCAAGGAGTGAACTATTTTCTTTTGGAAATTTCTTTTTAATTTTTATTATTAAAGTATAATTTTATTTTTAGGGCCTTTTGGGTTTTATTGACTAGTTCATTTCACCTCTTTAAGACTTACTAGCAATAAGCATAAAACTTGACACGTTAAAATCCCTGCCCTTTGGTAAGCCCACTGTTATTTATTAAAATAAAAGTTATTTTATGGGTGATTAATACATGGGTTTTCTTTTTCCTAAATTAACAATAATTTAAATAACTGAGTAATTTTAATATTAAATTTTTGTTAACAACTGAATGTTTCCATACAGTTTTCTTAGAATTTGACCTAGCTCTTAAAGGTGGGCACTTGGCAAAACTACTCATATAGCACAGTAGCAAGTAGGTTTATTTCTGATCATTGTAACTATGAGCCACTGTTAAGTGAAAATGCCAGTGTATTGGGGCTTTTCTTTTGCTCATTAGCTTAAGAAAATTTATAACTAGACATTTCTGTAATTGTTCTACATGTCATAGGGAAGAGTTTGCCAACATTTAATGAAATTTTTATATTCCAGGTAATGTATGCTAAAGGTAGTTATGAGAGAGTGGGCTTTTTAGCATGAAACAGAAAAATCAAATTATGGTTAAAAAAAAAAAAGATATGAATTTAAAGAACAGCATGTTGGTAAATTTTGATATGGAATGTAATGTCTAAGTATTAAAAAAAATCATAAAATATATTTTTTTCATGGTATACTTTTCCCCACCTATTGTCTTGAGATATCTTCTGCAGCCTAAATTTGCTAAAGTTTTGTCATTAAAAAGTAGGAATTTTTCCTCTTCTGAACCCCCAAAGTTTGCATATTACAGGTCAGAATTGTGTTATTCAAAATACATCGTCTTAAGTGAAATGTAACGGTTTTTGAAATTTTCAACAGTGTTAAATTTAACATACATATGTTATTATTTTAAAGGGCTAGACAGATTTTTAAGGCAAATTTTTATCAAGCAGTCACAGTGGCTATAGATAATAAGATGAAAGGACAACAATACAATACCTAGGGACATCAGAAAGAATGCCCTATTTTTCTGGAAAAGGAGGTAGGTAGGTGTGAAAGTCTTTGTAAAAAATATGAGTTTTGAAAGATGAGTGAATGCTCATTGGTTCAGGGGGACAAGAGAATTTCAGGCTTGGAGGTAAAGCATAATTGCAGTATTGCCAGTGGGCCACTTGTTAAGATAGGAAGTTGAAGAAGGTGAAGCTGAGGAGGCAGATGGGTGGTGGGATCAGGAATGTTCTTGTGTGCTGTATGAAGTCTTTATTTTCGTTTTTGAAAATCGTTATTGGATGCATGCAGATTGAACAATTTAATCAGTATCAATTTTAGATAATTGTCATGGTATAGTGGATAAATTGAGTAACTTGGAGATTACTTAGGGGAACCTAAAATAGTCCAGGAAAAAAATGATGGGAGCCAGAAGAAAGGCCAATGAAGTTGGGAAAGAGACTAATGGATAAGAGAAATACTAATAAGTAATGGCTAAGGCAGCCTGTTTCAGCATGTTTATTATAGTGAGAGTATTGCTGTGATGAAGTTTTCTAGATTGTGTTCTGTACTTCTCTCTCTCTCTCTCTCTCTCTCTCTCTCTCTCTGTCTCTCTCTGTCTCTTTTCTTTTTTTGGAGACAGAGTCGCGCTGTGTTGCCCAGGCTTGGTGCAGTGTGGCGTGATCTCGGCTCACTGCAACCTCTGCCTCCCTGGTTCAAGTGATTCTCCTGCCTCAGCCTCCTCAGTAGCTGGGACTACAGATACATGCCACCACACCCAGCTAATTTTGTAGTTTGGGCACAATCTCTGCTCAATGCAACTTCCACCTCCCAGGTTCAAGTGATTCTCCTACCTCAGCCACCCCCAAGTGGGTGCATACCACCACACCCGGCCAATTTTTGTATTTTTACTGGAGACGGTCTCACCATGTTGGCCAGGCTGGACTTGAACTCCTGACCTCAAGTGATCCACCTGCCCCCACCTCCCAAAGTGTGGGTATCACAAGCATGAGCCACCACACCTGGCCTCTCTTAAAGAATTTAATGCGTGTTTGCATATTAAAGACAAAAGTTCTGTAAATATGTAAAAAGTTAAAAGTCAGACTTAATTGACTGTGAGAGCATTTTTCTTCTTTTAATGTTAATACTTAGTTATATCCCACTGAACTGGCATTCTAAAGAACACACTTTGAGAAATGCTGATCTTAAACAGCGTTTATTCAACCAGAACTGATAAATCAACATGTCTACACCAATTCAATTGTATCAGCTGTTTGCAAATGGTGATTTTTCTGACTGTTAATTTATATGTCCCAATCGGTTGATTCCTTTGCTGTTTTGGTTGTTAATGTTTTGAATATTTCCCGGTATTCAAGTAATATTCATTGAGTTTCAAGTAATTGTGATTAAACGGGTATTCAAGTAATATTCATTGAATTTCAAGTAATTGTGATTAAACGTTGATTAAAATCCAGTTGTCATACTTACCAGAAGCCCCTGCCTCTAAACATTCTTATCCTACTTCCCATTTCCCACTCTTCTCATTTCATTGAACACAGTAACCTTCCTTCCTCACTTCAAAGCCTATCTGGAATGCTTATTCCTCTTAATTCTATGGCTGACTTCATATACATCAGTTCACAGCTTAAATGTCACCTCATCGGAGGGACACCCGGATCATAAAGTTTCACATGCCCATTCTTTACAACAGATTTTTAAAAAATACTTTGTATCTTCAACACTACCAGTCAATGAAGAAAATAATACCTGTGTTCTTCAATGACTTTGCAACAATCAAACCCCATATCACTTCCAAATCTTGAATTCAATTAATTTTTCTAGCCACAAACTTGTAGCTCACCTGCTCAAGATATCTCTGCTAAAAAAATACTTCTACCTTTTACTACCACTTGCTGACTATTCATCAGCTCACTCCTGTCCTCAACTTGTTCAGCTTAGAAACTAGATCCCATTGTTACAAGCACTCCTTTGCAAATATCCTCAGACCATACACCTCTCCCTCTGTCATGATCTGGAAGAATCCCCAAACATTCTGTCTACTCTTGAGCAGTGGAATGGAAGAAAATTATTCCGGGAGATAGGTTGGTAATCTCAAAACTTAAGTAGACTCAGCACTACCTGGCAGTTTTTCTGTAGTTTTCTGGTAACTTGCTTCCACAAGCTTAAATGACATACAGCCCTCATTTTGTGATCATTTAACCACATTTTGCTGAGGAAAAAGAAAAATGACATGAACTTTTTCAACTTTTCACCACCAAATCAATAAACCTGCTTGTATTTGCACTCTTCTACTTAGCAAAAACCAGTTTCCTCTTCTGGATTCCACCCCTCGCCCCCCCACCCCCACCCCCCATCTCCTTAAGAACTTTCTGTTGCTCTCTTGTTTGATCAGTATTTCTTTTACTTGGTCCTTTCTAACAGTTTATGAATAGACTCTAGTAACTACTATTCTTGAAAACATAGGCGGGAGACAGTTTATTTCATCCAGCTATAACCCTATTTGGTCCCAGTTACAGTCAGTGTGACTTGTCTGCTCATATATGCTCCATTTCCTCACTTCTCACTTAACTGCCACTTTCTGTGTTCCCACAACTCTCCTAAAATTTTTTCTTGTCAGGATCACCACTGTCTTCCATGCTGCTGTATGTATTGTTTGGTTTTCTGCCCCCACTCACTGCCTCAGGAGCATGCAGAAAGGTTGATGACTCCTTGAAATATTCTGTTGGTTTTCTCCTTACCTATTCTGGATGCTCCATTTCTGATTCCATCCCTAGCTCCACTTCGAGTACCTGACCTCTGGGTCACTGTTTCTCTCTACACTCTCTTTGCATTGTTCTGTGGAGTTCAGTATCATCAATGTATCTATCCTACCCGTATTTATACCTCTGAAGACCAGAGTTTTCATAATTCTCTGCTTGTATGTTCAACTGCCTACTTCATAGTTAAGTATATCATGTCCAAACCATTATGTCCTTCACCCTACTTTCAATCTGTTCCTCTCCCTATATTTCTTATCTTGATAAGGGAAGTCACTACCTGGTTTTCTGAAGCTAGGATTTTAGATGATGTCATCGTACTAATTCATGTTCTTTCTCTTTGTTTAGTCACAATTGTCATTTTTACCTTCTGATTTTTTTATTTTATTTTATTTTTTTATTTTTTTTTTAGACAGAGTCTTGCTCTGTCACCAGTCTGGAGTGCAGTGGCATGATCTTGACCCACTGCAACCTCTGCCTCCCGAGTTCAAGCGATTCTTCTGCCTCAGCCTCCTGTATAGCTGGGACTACAGGTGCACACCACCACACCCAGCTAATTTTTGTATTTTTTAGTACAGATGGGGTTTCACCACTTTGGCCAGGATGGTCTTGATCTCCTGACCTCGTGATCCACCCGCCTTGGCCTCCCAAAATGCTGGGATTACAGACATGAGCCACCACACCCAGCCATCATTTCTACCTTCTAAGTAGGAAGGAACCTTTCTTGTCATCATAACTAATCTAAATCACCATCATACTTTGCCTAAATTGCTCTAACAGCCTCCCTACTGGCTTGCTTTCAGAATATTCCCCACCAAGCAGATAGATTGGTTTTTGGTTTTTTTTTTTTTTTTTTCCCAAGTAATTTCAAAGGGAGGAAAACTCATGATTTTCCCACAGCACTTTGAATAAAATATGTTTATTTTTTACTAAGTTCTATAAAGGAATAAGGGTATTCTAAGGATATATAGGGTGAGAATATGATCCTATATACTCTGGTGAGGGACAGCAATAAAGACTTACCTATAAAAGTAGTAATTAGCCAGGCACAGTGCCTCATGCCTGTAATCCCAGCACTTGGGGAGGCTGAGGCAGGCAGATCGCCCAACGTTGGGAGTTCAAAACCAGCCTGACCAACGTGGTGAAACCCCGTATCTACTAAAAATGCAGAAATTAGCTGGACCTGTTGGCAGGCGCCTGTAATCCCAGCTACTCGGGAGGCTGAGGTAGTAGAATTGCTTGAACCCAGGAGACGGGGGTTGCAGTGAGCC